AAGACTAAACATCCTTATCGCCTCAGTCACAGATTGGGTGTGGGGTAGGGATACTGGCAAGAGAAGGTTGTCCTAAGAGAGGTGGGATTTCAGGAGGAAGGATCCACCTACCTTATACTCCCCTCCCTGCTGCCCCATCTTAGTACCTGATGCCCCTTCTGTTTGGGCCTTCCTACCCCCAGGAGAAAAGCACTGATTTGGCTCCTGGGGACACCTTCCTGGGTAACTCCAACGTTCTGCTGGACACTGGGCAGGGAGGAGGAGGGGAAGAGGTTCTGAGTACCCTCTTTGACTAGAATGAGTCCCACGGGGCTTCTAGTGCCTAAAGAGTCATATGAGTGTCCAGAGGTCTAGGAAAGAGGGACTAGGGACAGGGCATCAGCACCTTTCCACCCCACCCCACCCCTCGCTGCAGAAGCACCAGCCAGCAGTGAGAAGCATCAAGGCACAGGTGTGATGTGGCATTTTCTAGTAATAAAAATCAGCTTTTTATATATTCAATTTTTAAATCATTTACTATGATTTATCGTTTCACAATGAAATCAATATAAAAACTATTAATTATATGTATTTTTGTGATAAATCTTGGAAATCCAGTGAATTTTTAAACCTAAAGCCCGTTTTATTTTGGACAGGCTATGTTCCAAGTGCTTTGTAGCCTCCATGGCAAGTCGTTCCCATGCCGGATGACACAGCTCTAGATCTTGTTCCTTCTTTCCCTTCTGCTTGAAAACCCCTGCTCCCTCCATTACATGGTCAGGTCCACTTCGCAAGCCTTATCTACGAACCCCAGCCAGGGGAGCTCCATCCTGCCTCAGGACCTGTCCAATGACAGATGTTCCACCTGGGTGATAGGCAGTGTCTGCAAGGTCAGTGCCCCCATCAGGGGACTCCTCGGGTCTCGCCAAATGATGCTTCATTTGCAGAGTCTTTCACGGCCTGCACAGAGAAGGCACTGGAGAAGTGTGTACTGGAGTGACATGAGGTGTGTTTGCAGATGCTTAGGAGATTTTAGGTTTGCTTAGGATGGTTCCTTCCTGCACATGAGAAGCAAATGTGGGAGCATGGGATGGTGGCAGGAGGGCCCAGGTGTCTTCACCAGAGCTGCATTTTGTATTCATGGGGTTTCCTGGGTGTACCCTTTCTCCATAGAAAGTTGCTGATCATCTCCATAAAGGATGAATGGTTTTGTGAATGTTTTTAAAAACTCTAAATGCATCAAATCCACTTGGGAACATATTGAATCTATAATCTATTTTACAAAAACATTTCTTCCTGGGTACTAACCAGAGAAAGATCCAATCACTTAAAAGTGGAGCAGAATTTGTAATTGCTAAATTGTGGAAGCAACACAAATGTCCATCCCCTGAGGGTTGGATAAGAAACTTGTGGTACTTTTATATAATGGAATATTACTCACCTATTAAAAAAAATAAACTCAAGGACTTTATAGGTAAATGGTCACAACTAGAGACCATACTCATAAGTGAAATAAATCAGACCTGCATGTGTAAGCA